TTTTCACTCCTAATTTGAATAGCTAAAAACATTGATATGTCATATAGAAACCAATGTTTTAAACAAGACAAAGGGAACCACCATGGATGACTGATATAAGTTTCTGAAAAGTAATTGAAGTCAATCTACCATGTTTTGAACACTGGTAAAAGTCACTCTTATATAAGAAAAGCACTGTTTGGTAGAGTCACAGCAGAGCAGGCTGGTACTGAAGGCCTCATGCCATTTTATGGCAGGTTTTATCAATATTCACACTTCTACCCATGATTTCTCATATATTTCTCTTCTCTGCACGTAATACTCACTCTTCCCAGTTCTTTATCTTCAAGTGCCAGCACCCCAGTGCTTTCTGTAAAGAGTTTTACTTTGACAACAGGCCGAGGGTGAGTAGTGGTGAAATCCCCTTGGGTTCCCCATCTGCAATAAACAAAATAACAAAATTTAACTGGGGCTGAGCACAGGCCTGAGAGTGATAAGCCTGTAATCTTTTCTGCAGATTATTTACCAATGCACTCTTAGAACTTAATTTTCAAGCTTTAGGAGGAGGAGGGTGGGAAAGAAAAGGGAGGCACATTTTTGAACACCCAAGATCAAATATCTACATAGAAGAATGTTTTTTCTCTGTGATAAAACAAATCAGGGCTTTTCTGTACGACTTTTGTCATAAAATAATCAATCCAAAAATTTTTAATGGCACAACTCAAGGAACAGAATTTATATCTTCATAGAGAAAAAAGAACCAAGCAGGAAAGCAAATAGAGATCTATTGTCTATGAAATATATTCACTATCTTCTGCATACAAGTCAAATTAATTTAGCAAAGAATCATGTCTCAATTCACTTCAGGCAACCACAGCATGAATAAATTAGGAGACTTAGGCAGAGAAAATTTTATCTTTTATATTATATATATTTTACAACTTAGGACGAGAATGTAGAGAAAATGTGAACACAAATGCAAATAACAGGAAAAAGTATTATCAGAATGACTATAGCTCTGCAAAGTAATTACTGCCACAAGGCTCCATGCTTTTAGAGAACCTTAATTAGGCAGAGAGACTTCTAGTCATTAATCTCTTATCTCAGTTAAGACACTTGGTTTGCCAGCCATCCCCCCCTCCTCCGTGTGCCAATGATACAAAAAGTGAAAGTTATACAAATTAGGTTGCAACTTCCTTCAATGACCTATTCCATATTCCTGGACAACCACATGGAGTTCATTGCATTGATTAAACTGATTGTGATTATGCTACTAAGTGCAAACAAAATGCAAAAAGTAAGCACAGCTCGTTTCTCCTGCTTTTGTCCACTGGGTGAAATATTACAATTATCAGAAACTAACAAAATAAAGAAAACAGATGACCTTAAGAGTGTGCTATATTAAAGGATGCATTACACAAAATCTTAGGCCCTCATTTAGAAAATGCAATAATTTTCATTTACATTCAAGAATACACAATCTCTCCAGCATTGCAATGTGAACACAGAGTAGCAACGTTCCAGCAAAGGGATTCATTAGGCAAAATAAAAGCTTCAGCTAGCATGAGTTACAGACTTTAAGACCAAGTCTAGAAAGTAATATGTAATCAAAACCAAAAAGCTCTAAGGAAGCAGCAGTTCTGTACAAACCATTCCTACAGGTGGCTAAAAATGTCTGATTCTGAAAATGAGGTTCATCACAAATTAACTGAATCTTGCACTAAATTCTTTCTTCTTTGCTCTGTCTAGGTTAGACAGACACTTACTCTATCTGTGGTGTGCATAGCTTTAGCCTCAGTAAAGTGGTAATTTAAATAGAAACTCTGACAAATTACCTTCCTGAGTGGGAGAAAATCTGTTTATGATCTGATGACAGATGCTGCAGCTGCAGAATAAGACCATGCCTAGCACTACTGCTTTTCCCAGTGGTGGTGCCCGGGATAGGTTTTGTCACTATACAGAAATGAAATTTCCAAGGAGAAAACACCTTTATAAAAGCTGAGATAGTCGAATCTTCATTTTAGCCTCCAGATCCCAGTATTCAGGAAGAATGTTGCTTTAAGTTTGGAAACACAATCTAAGTACTTTGATAGCTGCACCCTCTCTCTCAGCTGTCTGGTTTGCTTGTCCCTGAGCTTTCAGAGGCAATGAACTGTACATGCCATATTGGACAGGACCACACAAAAAGCCCCAAGAGAAATCCCATTAAAATAACAAAACAAACCCAAACCCTCTCTACAAAGGTCTAGTGCCAGCATCAATTCATACAAAAGATAAGAGAAAGAAGAGGTCATGGTGACTGAAGGGAAGAGACCCAGCCTGTTCAATGAAGAGAACATCACCTGCAGCAACTCAGCTGCTGCAAGCTGAGCAGCAGGTGTGTGCTTCAGCATTTGCTGGGGTTTGAGCACCCTAGCATCAGGTTCAAAGAACTTCCTGGAGAGTGGTGCAGCTTTCTTTGGAGACCCAGGCTCCATCCCTGAAGGACACAGCAGGCAGGTATGGGGCACACATGCTCCTTGCCCAGGGAGCCTGAGAGAATTTGCTCCTTCTCTAATTCAGAGATACAGTGAGAGACTGATGAGAATAGGAGTAACATGGGGTCATCTGCCTGTTGTTGGCACTTATGTAGTACTAGAAATCACCTTTAACATTGAATCTGATCATCAGCCTTGACTGACATCTTTCTCCCATCCCTTGTTCCATCTGCAGCAGTAAGTGAAAAATCCTGGGCTGAAAAAGAATGGTCTGAATCAATTCCTAAAGCTTAATGATCATGGTACAAATATTCCATGCACTGATCTGCATGCTCCTGGATGATTAGGACTTCAGCTGACTCCCACAGCCTCTCATGAACATTTATTTGGAAGTGAAATATCTGTAAGAGCAGATGATCACAGACTTTACTGATGAGGTCTTAATATCATTCCTCATGAAAGAGCTCATGAGAAATCATGTTCTGTTAGAAAAGGCAAATCCAAGATTGTATCCTTTACTATCACACTTATTTGTGGGCATCTGATATTCCTATCAGCTGCCAATATAACAGCAAAGTACCCGTAGCTGATCTTTATGTTCCTTGTGTATTACTAGAACACAAGTCCTGTTTCCTTGAAGCTTCATGTTTCCACAGAGGTATCAATTCATACCATTTGAAATCAGCAGCCAAAATAGTGGTATCTTGTTCACTTTAGTTTGCTCCTTCCAACAAAGAACATAAGAGACCCAGTACTCCAGGCAAACTGACTTTATCTAGATAGAGTTCATCTATATGCTGTACATTTAAAAGCACATTATTATGGTATTATGCATACTATTAATACATCAGGCAACAACTGAAGCAGAAGTCAGAAATGACAGCCTAATCCAAACTCCAACTTGTAGTCTAATCCTTATGAATGTTCACGCTAATAACAATTCATGTTTGTAATAGCATATGTTTTAACTAGCAGATACATGCAAGCAATGGAAACAAAACTCAAGCACCTCCGCACCTTTGGAGGAGCCATTGATTTTTGAGATTCTTAATGTGACCAATTTTGGTGCTGAAAGTATCCAGATGGGAAATGCAAAATTTTAGACATAACAAGTATGGACTCATGCAATATTTATATTAAAGAACTACTAAATTATAGTATGGTTGTTCGTTTGGTTTTTTAAAGTCTTGCTAGATAAACAATTTAAAGTAACAATTTCAACATTAACTGCTGCAGTGAGCTCATATGCATGTAGCATACTGGATACCTCTAAAACTACCAACTTTAAGTCTGAAAAAAACCCCTAATTTTGCCTCTTCAGGCTCTCATTTCACCACATGATTCTCCTTTGTTTGAATAATTTTTCTGCTTTTACCTTCTAATTCTCTTTACTACAGAAACTGCAGTGATTTGATGTTTGTTCATCTTCAGCCATAAGCCACAGTCTTTTCACCATATTTCTGTGCTGCTGTCAGAGGTATGTGGGCTGATATAGTAATTAGAGACAAAATATATTGCCAAAGTTTATTTTCCTTACTGCAAAAGTACCTACTGTCAGCAAGAAGGTGAATGTTTATTTCAGCTAAAGATTTATCACTGTGTCACAGAAATCCCTGTAAGCGAATTAATTTTTCTACTTCAGTTTGGAACACATTTCATACACTGAAAACAGCAGCAAATTTTTCTCTCAGGTTTTCCATTTAACTCATGGTCTCTGTTTGTCAAACTTTTTTTTTGAGATCATGGGTGTGAATGTAATAAAATTTATTATCCTAAGCAAAGATCTAGAAATTTTATTTTAGCCCTATTTACTGGAATACTTTATTTCTAATAAAATACCAACTCTAGAGAATTTTTACACCATTTTCTGCTTTCAGCAATATGGAAATAGCATTTTGAAACCATTACCAGAGTGTATTGGTCCCCTTGGTGCCATCTTTTGCATCTTTCTGGGTTAGATTCTGGGTTTAAGTCTTCTGCATAACCTCAACGTTCAATTATTAACTATTACATTATTAACTACACTATATTATTAACTTTACCATATATTAAATTATCTTAAAGGGCCCTTTGGAAGAGTTTCCTTATTTTCTATCCAAATAGGGAGGTGGACAGAGCTGGAATGAGCAGGAAGATCCACCCAAGCCATTTTGTTAGGCATCTTACTGCTCCACAGCCGTAAGAGATTTACCAGCACTTCATCTTTGCACATCTTGGACCTGGTCTGGAGGTCACTGCAATATTTTTGTGTTTCAACTATCTCAAGAACCAATACCAATTCTGCTGTTTCTACTTTGTTTAGAAACAAGATTTAATTGTATAAAAAGAGGTATCTATATCCTCAGGTTAGAAACTATACAGTGCAAGTTGTGGGATGAAATGCAAGGAAACGAAAGGAAAAAGGAGGCTCAGCACCTCCTGACACATCCAAGCACACCAATATATTAAAGCACTTCAAAGCCAGGTCTGACAAATCTTCTGTGGCTAGTGAAGGATTGTGTGAGTGTGGAATTTGAAGTGTTGCATATTACTATGTCCAACTGCACAGATACAGAGAAAATGTGAGATGGAGAGCCAGGTGCTGTTCCAGCAGTGCAAGTCACCCCACAGCAATCTGACAATAAACCAATAATTTGATGAGGAGGCTCCACTCACCCAAATAAAAACAGAGTTAAATCCATACTTATCTGATTTTGGTGTTTTTACTGAGACTCCTAAAGAGAGTATTAGTTGGTGCTAATTGCTACTAGTTCTTCCCTGCTGATACTTGGAAAAATTTCATAAGCATTTCATTTTTTCCTCTGAGCACAAAACTACTCATCCATTTGTTAGTGATTGACACCAGGATGCTACACTAGAAATAAAAGATTTGACTCTAGCAGCTGTCTCATACAGCCCAAAAGCATGTTTATTTTTTGTTATGACCACCATACAAAATAATATGAACATTGCAGATTCTCC